AGAAAGAGAGGGAGAGAGAGAGAGACAGAAAGAGAGAAGAGAGAGAGCAAGCAAGCGAGAACGAGAGCCCCACACGTGCGCGCTGGCACCTTCAGCATACACTTATTGTGCATCGGCTTTGAATTGCGTAGATCTTTCAGTTGGTCCTGTCATGGACCTGCTGCTTTTCCTTCGCAGTCATCTGTCCCATCCCAGGCTCTGTCAGGAAATGCGCAAGCCCCAGCTCAACATGCTGCGGCTTGGAAGACGGATTGACGAACTCAACCGATCAAAGCAAAAATCAATCCGATCGCGCAGTCTCTGTCCCTGTCCCATTGATTCATTCGTTTCAGCTCGCTGAGGTCTCGCACAGCGCCGGGCACTTAGATTGGCTCGCGACCGCTAAGGTTGCTTCCTTGATCTTCATTGCAAACCGACAGGACAAGATCTTGCCAGGAAGCAGTTTAGGGCTTGATTCAGGCGCCGCAGCGGTCTGGATGCGGGCCTACTGCTGGTCGGTGCACTGACGGGTGAGGCGATGCCGGGATGGGATCCTTGCTGCCGGAGAGGTCTGCGAATGCCTCTGATCAGGTGCTGGGCCTATGCTTGCGACCACGTGCCCCCGAGCTGCGCTTTGAGGGCAGTGGCCGGCCGCTAGAGCCCCAAAGCCAAAAAAACCCTTGCGCAAGGAGTACAAAAACGGGGCGAGGAGTAAAGATTCGAAGACTGAGGCTCCAGGCCTGGGAGCTGGCAGAGCAGCTTCAGCCCGGGCCCTTCGGGAGTAGCGTGTCGCAAGTGAGGCCTAGGCCTAGTTTGTGTGCCGGTGTGGCGACTTCTCAGGGGTGGCTTGGCTTTGGTCCGTACCTCTACAGAGGCCCGAGCAGTAAGCCTGGCAGCCGCTCGATTTACCTTCGCCGCTCGTTCGAGGTCGTTGCCTACCCTGCGCAGAAGGCCAGGCCGCGTGGAATGCAGCGGGCGTCTGCGCGCATCGTGTGGTTCGAGGCTGCGGGCTTGCGGCTGAAGCTGTCGAGGGCTCAGCTCTAGGAGAGCCCTGGGACCGGCGATGCTCGGCGGCTGAGGTGAAGAGGGGGAGCCGTAAGGCGATGCTTCCTGGCGCCAACGCGATGCCTCGCGAGAGGAAAGGAAGACCCCGAGAGCTGCAGGATTAAGAACATGAAGTGTACGACACTTACTACCCCACGTAATCTGCAATGGTTCCAAGTACGTACCACGACCTTCCGTACATGAGAACGAGCCTGGAAGAGCTGACAGCCTTCTGGTCTTCGGGTATGCCCGGATCCTTTGCCGTGTTGGGCTCTTGCTTTTGGGCTTACGGCGTATGGCTCCCGAAGTACATGGGAAATGTGAGACTGATGTTCGTGTATTTACTGATTGGTCACGAAACTTCACCGGCACCTCGACACCTATTCCGTCCTTCCTGATTCATCAGTGCTGAGTGCTGAGCAGTTTTTCCTATGTTCGGTCCGTCTCGCAAGGGCTTCGTGTCAGTGCATCGTCCTCCTCTTGGTTGAGGCTCTCAGCTTACCAGGCAAAGGCAAATGGCTAAAGTGATTCTGGTGTTTCAGTCCGCAGCCCGGCCTTTGAACAAGCGTCTCGACTTCACCTTGACTGCAGCCACGAGGCTCCGGCGCAGCATCCTCGAACGAAGTGATACCAAAATAATTAGATTCCCAGTTCCACAGGGCCATGCAGGGCAGACCCTAGACTTGCATTCATTCTTTGTCTGGCCACACTGCGATGCCTGAGACTTGACCCCTATGCGTGCTAGATTCTGCAATGCCCCGAGACTCCCCCTAGCCTTGATGACTGGGTTTAATCTGAAGCTAACAATTCCTATGTCTCCAAGCTGTCAAGACGACCACGGCCCCAAGACCGTCTGGGCTGTTGGAAGCTATGCATTGGGACGGCTTGACGTTTCCAGGTGCTCCTGCATCCTTTCACACAGAACTCTCAGAGCCCTGGCGCAGCACCATAACTTAAATCAACTGGAGAGATCGAGGTCCCTTCCGAACATTGAAGCCGTGTGCCTGCAGGAGTTCCGGCGATGGCGCGACCGTGAACTGTTGCTGGTGTGGAGCCTTTGGCGGCACCCTCAGAAACACTAGAAAATGCGTCAAAAGAGCCAATTGCGCCATCAGCAAGGCTGACAAAGCGGAGACACAAGGTGCTGGCTTGCACATGTAACAGTGTTCGTTCGCTTTCTTCCTGGCCCGCCCCGCCCATGAAGTTCTGGCGTTTTGCTGCGAACCTTCAAGTCAGGGCAGATATGAAAGAGGGCTTTGCGATCGCTGGGGCATGGGCATGTTTCGGGAGAGAAGGCTTCCAGGAAACATTTGAAGATTCCCAGGAACTCTCTGGCGATGCAGGACGGGCTTGTGCTTGGCTGCAGATATATCATGATCTCCAGATGTAATGGAAGGCTTCGCGGCTCCAGGAAGCTGCATGTTACGAAGGGGTTGCAGGGCTACTGTAGCTTCTGCTGTGAATATGGGTTTTCTCAAATCTTATGGCCGGAGAGTATCGCACAACTGAAGAAGGAGCCGGGTGTCGAGAGCCTGAAGTTTCTCTTGTTGCAGGGCTGGTCGTCTTGAGGCAACACGACTCAGTCAACAGTGCCAGCCCCAAATGGGAAAATGATCACGGCTCAAGGCATTAGCCCGTTGAGCTTGCACTGCATGGCGGGGCGGCACGTTTCGCCACTTCTGTCCCCGTTGCTTGAGTTACTTTGCAAAGGGACGTCGGCTGATTGCAGCAACTTCCGCGTGACAGATGTGGTTGCCTCTCGAGGAGCCCTCGCACTCCTTGACAACAGCGGCACAGTTACTGCTTACGGTTCGGGTTCTTACGGGTGACATGCACCTAGTGAGGTGTGGTTGTCATCTCTTCCACGAACATCGGCTTCTCAGCCGCCAAGTCTGATGGGTCGCTTGTGACATGGAGCGATATGCAAGGCTTTGCGGCGAGTCAACTTACCTCTGGCGTGGTCTCACTTGTCGGGGGCGAGCAGGCTCATGCCGTACTTTTTTTTCCGATGGCTCTGTGGTGACTTTCGGCTCATCGACATGGGGGGCGGGCGATGCGAGTTCACTCTCGAGCCAACTTGCCAGTGGCTGATGGTTCGGTCGTGACCTGGGGCTACGCCAGCCATGGAGGTGACTCCAGTTCTGTTGCCTCCGAGCTTGCATCGGGCGTCCTGTCCATTCAACCTCCAAAGCCTGATGGCTTCCAGCGTGGTTTCGTTGCTTGGAAAGCCGGCAGCACAGCCGTGATTTGGGGCCACAACACGGGCGGAACCCACATAGCCTTGCCCTCCCAAGTGATCTCGGATGTGAAGAAAGTGGAGCTCGCAGGACTGGCCGTCGGAGTCTTGAGGAATGATGGGACTGTGATCACTGCCGGCCGGGCAGACGACAGCAGGAGCTTCGCCGATTCAAGTAGCGTTGCGGCACAGCTCACGAATGTGGTTGACCTCGTGTGCCCGGCGTACGCATGCGCAGCACTCAAGGTCGACGGCACGGTGGTGACCTGGGGCTATGCAGACTGGTTTGGATCGAGCAGAAGGCTTTCAGGCTCCAGTGGGCTCACGAACATCCAGAAGATCTATGGCTCGTTCTATTCTTTCGCTGGGCTCAAGACGGACGGAAGTGTGGTTACTTGGGGTCGGAGTGGTTCCCAGTATGGCACAGACTTCTCAAGCCCCCGAAGCAGCACGAGCAGCGAGGTCCAAGCCGATGTCGTGGAGATCTACTCGAACCCAACGGCCACTGAGGGAGGCGGAGCTTTCGTTGCCGTGAAGCAGGATGGCGGGATAGTCGCATGGGGCAACTCACAGACTGCGAACATCCCGTACAACAGGCTCACAACCGTCACCACTACAACAATCTCAACCACATCCTTATCTACAACGTCGACGACTAGCTCAAGCACTTCCACACACACCACATCTTCGAGCAAAACTACAACACATACCTCGTCCACAAGCTCCTCAACCACTTCCACATCGTCTACATCCACGAGCAGCACGCGGTGTGGTGTTGGGAGGTGCTTTGGTTTTGGATTGTTTATGGCATTTCGGCGTAGGATTTGGGAGGTGCCTTGTGTTTGGTGCTTTGAAAGGTTTGATTTATTGGTTTTTTCGGTGGATTGAGAAATGGTGTAAAAGCATACGGGGGTATTGAATGTGAGGTCTGGGGTTAGCCTATGCTTGCCTCTACAGCAGACAGTTTCTGTTGCCTGCATGGCGCCGTTTTTGTGGCTGTCTAACAATGCTGGCAGTGTCAGTCCTCAGGTGTACTGGGGCATGCTTGGCTTCGTCTATGTCTTCCCGCTCTTCCTCTTTGGAACGACTGACGAGGATGGGTGGGTTGCTTGCTGCTAATCAGATCACGTTACGTCGCATGGCAAGCCACAGCCGCACACCCCGAATTGCAAAGCTCAAAGCGTGATGCGGAAGTAGCAACCTTGAGCTCCGCCAGAACAAAGCCAGCTCGTCCGGCCCGGAAGCCTGCAAAAAGGACCCACGGCGTGCTGGGATTCTGCGCCTTTCGGTGGCATCCAACTGGGACCTGGGGTCGACGAGCCTTATGCTTCTCGCGCTGCGGGTGATGTGCTATGCCTTCATGTACGACCCCATCACCTTTGCCTGGAGGCACGAGGACTACGAGGACCGCGAGGATGAGCAGGCCAGGTGCACACATGTCTGCCGAGGCTGGTGACGGGCAGTGCCTGTCATCATCGCCGGGGCTCTGCTGGCAATGCTGCCGCTTGCCTGGGTCGGAGAAGGAAAGAACCATGTGTCGCCGCGAATTGCACTGCACCCTAAGGTACGTGCTGGTGATGATGGGCGCCGGGCTTTTTACTCCCGTGCAAGAGTGAGCGAATCGTGCTCTGACATTCTTTCTTACTTATGCTACTACTACTCCTCGGTGACGCGGACATCGCTCAGAGTGCTGCGCGGGGGGTGGCAAAGCGAAGATTTTCAAGGCTTTCAAGATCTGCAAGCTGTTTTTGTGTGACGAGGTCCAACCGTGCGCATGTTGGGTTGCAACTTGCTCGTAGCAGCCTTGGTAACCTCCTCTCCGTAGCCATATTGGCTCAAAGTGCAGCATCCTCGAACAGTGATACCAAAATATATTGCCAGTTCCATCTGGCCATGAAGGCCAGACCCTGGACTTGCCTTCTTTGTCTCGCCACACTGCGAGGTCTCATTCCAATTGGAGGTCAAATCATTGCTGGCACTGACCATGCTTTCGCCATCTTGGCGACGGATGGAAGTGTCACGACCTGGGGTGATGCCTCCATGGGTGGCGATACTACGGCAGCCGGTGTAGCTTCGAGTTTAGCCTCCGGTGTCCAAGCACTGGTGGCTGGGCGCGTGGCTTTTGCGGCTTTGAAGACAGACGGCAGCGTGATTGCTTGGGGAACCTCGAACGACGGCGGAGACTCGAGTGCCGTGTCGGCGCAGCTCACTAGTGGTGTGACGAAAATCGTCGCCAGCTTCTATGCTTTCGCAGTTATGAAGGACGATGGAAGCGCTTTTTCGTGGGGCAATGGGGCCTTTGGTGGGAATTATGGATCTGCTTCAAGCCAGCTGACCTCCGGCGTTGTCGACATCTTCTCCTCAGGGCACGCATTCGCAGCCTTGAAATCCGATGGAAGTCTCGTCACGTGGGGAGCAGGCAATCAAGGCGGCTCGCTGACAGTTCCAGCGGATGTGACGTCGCAAGCAAGCTCTGGGGTCGTGACGGTGGGCTCGAACAGCCACGTGTTTGCTGCAATCAAGACTGATGGCAGTGCCTTCACATGGGGTGAGGGATCTTACGGTGGTTCGCATTCCGAGCCAGTGACCTCGGAGTTGACAAGCGGCATCGCATCAATCATTAACGGCCATGTTAAAGACGGACGTGTGTTGGCCGCCATGAAGTCGGATGGAAAAGCTTTGGTGTGGGGCGGTCAAACGGGCTCGCACGTCTTCAACGACGTGAAGGCAGTAACTGTCTCAACGCATGCTGCTGCAATCTTGTTTGCCGATGGTACGGCGGAGGCTGTCGGTTCCTCCAGCCATGGCGGAGACGAGAGCTCTGTTTCCTCCCAGCTGACTGATATTGGTGCCATCTACAGCACTGGTTATGCATTCGCCGCTGTGAAGACCGATGGAAGCGTGGTAACTTGGGGCGACTCCGGAAAAGGCGGAAATTCTGATGCGGTAGCGGCCGACTTGGCGTGCTGTGTGCAGGAGATCTTCAACACAAGAACGGCGTTCGCAGCATTGAAGAGTGATGGTAGCATCGTTGCTTGGGGGGACTCTGCACATGGTGGAGACACCAGTGGTGCAGATGTTTCTTCCGGCGTGAGGCTAGTCCATGGCATCGAGTATGAGGACGACGGAGCCTTTGCAGCCGTGAAGTGGGATGGCTCTGTCGCGACCTGGGGGCATAGCAGCTCAACAGCTGGCTTGCCGTCCTCCTTAAATGTCGGGACCGCCACTTCGACCCAGACGACCACCTCTACTACAACCACGAGCCAGACCGTCACCACCAGCAGCACGACCACTCAGACGCGGACAACTCAGGCCTGGGTCAGCAAGCCTTCGTTGGCTTAAGTCTGGACTTCAGGTTCTAGTAAAGGGAGAGAGC